AATGATTTCATGACTCATTGCTCTTCTGTTATTATAGATGTTTTATATCGAGCTGTTATCAGGAGCGAAACAAACGTTTCTGATTAGAATGTTCCAATATATTATAACATTTTTTTCCTCGCACGACATACTAGTTGTGTTTAATTGACCCGTGAAAGCCTTCTTATTTTTACGAAAACCGTAACGATATAAAATGAGATGTGCACCGAACTGTAAAGCGAAAAGTCAATTATATAGCTATTATTTTTGTTCTTCAACAACAGAACGTAATAAATCTTGAAAAGATTAATGATCCCACACCCTAAAGTCGTTGCAAACATCATTTTCTTCCTCGATCAGAGATCGTCTAAACTTAATAATTCGAAAGAAGATGGCTGCCAATACACTGTTGATTTAATAAACATTCAATATGAGCTCGTTGTTTAGGATCTCTTTTCTCGTTAATTTCTGCTCGGGATTAATTAAACGCCTAACTTATTCCATGACTTCAGAAATAAAACATTTAGACCAAAATGGGCATCACTATATAGTATAAAACAAAGTCGCTTCCCGCTGTCTGTCCCTATGTATGCTTAGATCTTTAAAACTACACAAGTATTTTAATGCGGTTTTTTTTAGTGGATAGAGTGATTCAAGAGGAACACTGATAATTTTAGAGGTTTCCAATATGATGTCGTAAATAAACACATTTTTTGCGCTTACATTGCAAATGCTGGCTGAACCCTATGAGATAAATCAAATTAATGTACTAAAGTATTGTACATCTTAAAAAGATCTAGAAAAAAGTCCGGGATGGTATATGTCTATCTCTTAGGGATAACCCACAATAACCATTTTTTGTCCTTTACTTTTTATGAGAAATAATGACTTATTTACGAAACGATTTTAAGCAACACATCATTAATCCTTATCCAATTAAGTACCTTAAATACATTGTGCATTAATATATATCAATATGGCCCTTTACAGCATGTAATTTAAATGAATATTTTCGAAGATATTACAGATTTAAAATGCAGGGACATAGCGGTTGCGGCGGTACCGGCCGGGAGGCCGGTTTGTATTGTCTAATGACAAAAACACTGTGAATGTTGTATATAAAGACATTCTGTAGTATATTTAG